GAGGTTGCTGTGAGCTGTGACGCTACAGCACTCTACTGAGGGCAACATAGTGAGACTCTGTCTCAAAAAAAAAAAAAAAAAAAAAGACTATGTATGTGGAACATTTACCAAGATAGAACGTATTCTGGGCCAAAGAACAAGTTTTAGTAAGTTTAAAAAAATTCATACATACAAACTATGTTTCCTGACTACATTGGAGTTAAATTAGAAATCAATTACAGAAAGATAGCTATTAAAAAAAAAAAAGCTGGAAACTGAATAGACTTCCAGATAACCTGCGTATTAAAGAAAAAAATCAAAATGGAAATTAGTAATTATATTTCACAGAATGAAAATGGAAAAACAATTTATTAAAATTTGTGGGGTGCTGTTAAAGCAGTACTGAGAATTTTACAGTACTAAAAGGCTAGATTAGAAAAAAAGAAAAGTTGCAACTCAGGGACCTCAGCTTACACCTGGAGAAATTAGAAGAAGAGCAAATAAGAGTCAAAGCAAGTGGAAGAAGGAAAATATTAAAGACCAGAGTGAAAGTCAATGATATAAAAAATAGAAAAACAGAGAAATAGCAAAGAAACCGAAAGTTCTTTGCAAAACTCAGTAACATTGATACACCTCTAGCTAGACTGAGCAGGAAAAAGGCCAAATACAAACTGCTGATATCAGGAATGTGAGAGGCGGTTATCACTATAGATTTTATAATAAATAAAAGAATAATAATAGTCTTTTACAATAATAAAAGAATAACAAAATATTATCAAATGTATGCCAATCAATTTGACAACTTTGATGAAATAGACAAATAGACAAATTCTTTGCAAGATACAAACTACCAAAACTTATTCAAGAAGAAAGATAATTTAAATATCCCTGTTAAAGGAACTGAAGTTGAAATTGTAGTTAAAAACTTTCCCTAATAAAAAAGTCCCTCCAGGCCCAGATGGGTTCACTAGCGAATTTCACCAAATACTTAAGGCAGAAATAATGTCAATTCTATACAGAGTTTTCTAGAAAAATGAAGAGTGGATAGTTCTCAATCCATTCTCTGAGGCTAGGAGTACTGTGATCCCCAAACCAGACAAGACTTTACGACTACAGACCAGTACACAGTGTAAATATTTATGAAAAAATTCTTAACAAAATTTTAGCAAATCTACCAATATGTGGAAAGGAACATACATTAGGACTAAATTAGGTTTATCCCAGGAATGCAAGGTTGTCTTAATATTAAAAAAACAATCAATACAATTCAACATATAAACAAACGAATGCAGAAAAACCTATAGGACCATCTCAATAAACACAGTTGGACAAAATTCAATATTCATTCCATAGAACATTCATTAAAGTAGGAATAAAAAGGAATGTCTTCAACCTGAGAAAGGGTATCTAGAAAAATCTATAGGTTATATTGCAATTAATGGCAAAACATGAAATGCTTTCCCCTAAGATCAAAAACAACTTGAGAGGGCAGCACCTGTGACTCAAAGGAGTGGGGCACCGGCCCCACATACCAGAGGTGGTGGGTTCAAACCTGACCCTGGCCCAAAACTGCAAAACAAAAACAAACAAAAAACAACTTGAGAACATTTGCCTTCACTATTTCTATTCAACCTTATACTAGTTCTAGCTAGTATAATAAGGCAAAAACAAAACAAAACTAAAAACCATCCAGATTAAAAAGAAGTAAAACTATCTTTATTCACAAAGATCTGATCACCTATACAGCACATCTAGTTAGAATCTACATAAAAAGCTACCAGAAATAATAAGTAAATTTAAAGAGATCACAGGATGCAAGATTAATATACAAAAATTCACTGCATCTCCAGACAGTAAAAATCCATAAATTGAAATAAAATATCATTTATAATAGCATCAAAATATATGAAATATTTAGGAATACAAGTACTGACAATTAAGTTCACAAACTCTTCCTAGAAAAAGTGCACCACACCTCATTGCTGAATATTACTACAGTCACCTTGGAAGTGCTCCCCTTGGGAAGCTGTGCCCTGACACCAGCACCTGGTCCTCTCTTCAAAGCACCGTTGGAACTCTTCTTCTGGAACAGCCATCAGAGTTGTTACTGTATTATCCTTGACATCCTGAATATCATCCAAATGTCTTCTTTTCAATATTTCCTTTATCTTTGGGTAAAGAAAAATGTCACTGGGGCCAGATCAGGTCAGTAGGGAATGTTCCAATACAGTAAAGTGTTTACTGGCTAAAAACTCCCTCATAGACAGTGCTGCGTGAGCTGGTGCATTGTCATGATGCATGAGCCATGAGGTCTTGGCAAAAAGTTCAGGTTGTTTCCATCCAACTTTTTCTTGCAGCCTTTCCAGCACTTCTAAATAGTAAACTTGGTGGCCCATGTTTCATCATCTTGCCTCTCCATAGTCTTCGCAAACTTTGACTCTCCTTTGCTTTTGTTCATCAGTGAGCTCCTTGGGGACCAAATCCAATGATTTGAATGCACAATTCAATGAATTTTTGCAATGTTTTAACCAGTTCTTCTTGTTACTGGCTGCCCTGCCCTTTCTTCATCAGTGACACTTTCTCTCTCCTCAGAAAACGTCTAATTCATTTGTACACTGCTGTTCTCTTCGTGGCATTGTCCCCATAAACTTGGACTCACATGTCCTGATTTTACTTCCACTTTTGCCAGGTTTAACAAGAAATTTAATGTTTGTTCATTGTTTTAATTCAAGCTCCAACATTCTTGCAATGGCACCCGAAACACACAACAATGATCTTATAACCTGTTCTTGTTTTCATGACTGTTTTTAATCAAGCCTACTTTTTAAATTTATAACTAATGTTATTAACTAAATTAAAGAAGTTAAATTCATGTCATCTATTTTTTACCCTAACTGATAAGTGGTGAAAGGTAACTAAATAATATTCCCTGAGCTTTTAAAAAAATAAACCAACATTTTTCTGATTCGAGAAATACGTGTTTAGGACAGGCATCTTGGCTCATGCCTATAACCTCAGCACTTTGCAAGTCCACTATTATCCATTACGAATGTTCCTTGGTATTCTTTATAATTTCTAGAGGAAGTCTTCATACCACTTTCTCTTGAAATGAGTTGCTCCTACAGCTCATAAATGTGTGTGTGTATTTTTGGGATAGCAAACAGGAAATTCAAGTTTTACTCTAATTTCCAGGATGAGGTTGGTTCAGGGAATTTTTAGAGATAAATGCTATTCAATTTAAAAAATATTTTAGTTTATTATTAAAAAGTGAGAAATATAGGAAATAAAACATTGCCCTACAGAATAAAACCACTACCATTTTAGTGTATTTCCTACCAGATAGTTTTCTGTGCACATCTTCATACAGCTGAGATTACAGATGGACTATTTTATCTTGTACTTAGATTTAAGGTGTTCTGTGCACTTCTCAATATAATAATTGCTATAACTATTTTTAATGTCAAAATGATATTCTATTGTAGTTTTATTCTAATGTGGTTAACTGCTTTCTTATTGAGGGACATAGTGTTATGCTATTGTGAGTATTTATACATAAATCATTGTACTTTTCTCATAAGTATTAATTCCCTAAAAAGCAATTACAAGATTAAAAACCTAATACTTTTTTAAGGCTCTAGATAAGTTTTAGCAAAGGTTTGTGCCAAAATGCACCCCCACTAACGATGTCTGAGAATGTTTCACCTCATGGCAGTATTGGTTATATTGACTATTTCCTGACAGAAGAAAAAAAAATCCTTGATACTTTGATGGTAAAATAGTGTTTAATGGTAACTTTATTCACACGTCTTTGACTGGTCACAATATATTTCTTTTTTGTTTTTTTTCTCTTCTGTTAACAATTTGTTCATGTCCTTTGCTCATTTTTCTGTGTTTCATTCACATGAATCCAATTATTTTGTTTTATAAAGTCTACATTGAAACAACGATAAAATACTCACACGAGTTCATTTTATTAGATTTAAATATTTTATTTCAAGAAATATTCTGAAGGCTACTGTTTATTATTAGGAAAAATATAATGCATACATGTCTATAGATCATTATATACTGACAGTATAGTAAATAGATTCTCCAAGTAACATGATTAGCTTTGTAGCGATACCAGTGGAATGCTTTCTGCAGAAATGTGGTTTTACCTTCAAATCTGAGCATATCTACCCTTACATCAAAAAAGAAAAAGGGAAGCATAAAAACACGACTTCGATTAGTTTAAATTTTAGTAGACCACATCTGATTTGTTGAAGAGTAAGTTCTTTTATTTACCTCTTCAAGGAAGTCATTATTTTTTTCATTTCTTTCTGAGCCTCATTATCCTATAAAGAAAATACAAATACACAATGAAATTTCAAGTATTCATCCTGATAGTCTAGTACTGATACTCTAGTACTTTCAAATAGGCTTTCGTTAAGTGCAAGCGTATTTTCTGAAAGACCATTACAAAGAAACTGTGTTTTTCTTAGGGGCAGGCATAATCTAGATCCATAAGAATGCAAGTAATGTGGACAGCCATTTCTGGGATAATACAGACCTGTTCTGTGGATACACAGACCTGACGTGGTGGGGCTCAGGAAGGAGAGGGCCTTTCATGTAAGCTGACACGTGGGTTTGCCTTTGTGTTAACACCATTATTGTTTTTATCTATGAGATGAAGAAGCCCTGGCCTGAGCAGAGGGATTTGAAGAAATCTGAGATTCTACAGTAAGAGCCAGATAAACGTTTATTTCATTACTGATTTTATCAGTTATATTTAAGATTAAAAATCAAGTAGTACGTTTTATAGGGTACCACCCATTGTTGCTCCTTTATAACAAATGTAGAAGTTACAAGCAGTGACAATAAATTCAGACGGCCGAGTACTTTACTCTATCTTTGTTTTTAACAAATATTTGCTGAGCATCTATCAGAAAGAACTTAAGGAATGTAACAAATTTAAAATAATAAGACAAAGAAAATAGGATAAGGTAAGTATCGAGAAGAAGCTGCCATCTAGATTTTTAAAAATCTAAATTATCATGAACATTAAAGCACTGATTCTATTGTGGTAGCATAGAAGTCTGCCTTCTACCAAGCAGTATTTACTAAAGGTTGTGTGAAAATAAGATCAATGATATATAGGATATGAGTGTGATATTTAATAGAACTTATAAAAAATCCGTAATTCTAGGTGTTGAGATCCATATTTACCTTTGGGACTGTTGGGTTATCTCAGTGCCTGGCACCTAGATAGCCCTAAATAAATGCCTCCTAAATGAATGGTTAGATGTCGCAGCACAGTAACGATTTTCCATATCTAGGAATCAATTTCTTACAGAAGAGTGACACAGACGAAAGAATTATTTCAATTAGATGACTAAAGAAATATCCACAAACTATATAGAGTAGAACCTCTGTAAAATGACCATTCAAGGGACTGTAACAACAAACTGATCAATATACAGAGGTGGTCAACATAAAGAACTAGGCCTGACACGTACACACCTGGTCTGTGAGAGTTAGGTCAGCTCAAGGAGGTGTGGGGAGGTTCTATTGTATACCTGGTATATATATTCAGAAACTATAATAAAAGACTGCCTTAATGTGCTTGGGATCTCATTCTCTCTGCCTTCCTCAGGAGTTTATTCTATCAATTATCTCCTCCCTCTAAGTCTTTATTGAACTCTTCCTTCTTTGCTGGCTGTTTCTCACTATCCTTTCAATGTGTGCCTGTATTTCCCATCTACGGTAAACTACTCCTCAGCTCAAACATCCCTTTAATTTCCATCTTACAGCTCTCCTCCCTTTCCCATGAAATTCTGTGGAAGGGCATCTCTATGTACCGACTGCAGTCTCTCACCTTTGCTTGCTCTGTGCTTTGGTCTCTATGTCCACTGTGCTACTCAAACAGCCTTGACTAAGGTCACCAGTCCTGCAGACTTGTTCAGCCCCTTGCTTGCTCGGCTTCTCCAGAGCACCTGGCAGAGCTGGTCCCTCTACATCCTGTGGCTTCTGAGGGACAGCCTCTGCTCCTTTCACTCTCACATGCAGCTTCCCCTGCCTCCCCCCATTCCACTGTTTTGATGTTTCTTAGCGGCTGAACTTTTGCACTCTGCTTTTTACATACCAGATAACCTCTTGGGTAATCTCTACCATAGGCTTCAAACTTCATTAATACGCCATATTTTGAATTACTCACTGGACTTAAACATCTCACAAACGTAAACTCAACATTTCAAAACTAAACTCACCTTCCCTATCAAACCTGGCTCTCCTGTGTTCCTTGTGTCAGTAAAGAGCATCTCCCCTACCCTGGTCAATTTTCCAAGCTAGAAAGTGGTCACCCTTGAGTTCTCCTCTCCCCTCAACAACCAATCTCCAAGTCTTGTAGAGAATATGACCTACAATTTGTTACATTTGTCCTTTCCTCTTGCCATCATCTTAGTCCAGGTGACCGTGTCATGTCTGTGTTACTGCAGTAGTTACTGACAGTCTCCACGCGGTGGCTACTGTTTCCTTCTCACCACCTCACTGTGTTATCTAATGCTTTAGAGCCTCCAAGAAGAAGGCATATTGTTTCCACACCTTGGCGATTGTAAATCGAGCTGTGATGAACAATTTTGCAAATGTCTTTTTGACAAAAGGATTTTTTTCTTCTGGGTAGATGTCTAGTAGTTGGGATTGTCAAATGGGAGATAAAATTCGAGTTCTTGGAGGATTCTCCATACTTCTTTCCAAAGAGGCTAGATGAGTTTGCAGTCCCACCAACAGTGTAAAAGTGTTCCCCTCTCTCTGCTCCATGCCAGCATCTGCAACATTGAGTCTTTGTGATGTGGGCTACCGGGGTTAGGTGATATCTCAGGGTAGTTTTGATTTGCATTTCTCTGATGATTAGGGACAATGAGTATTTTTTTATATGTTTGTTAGTCATTCGTCTGTCATCCTCAGAGAAGGTGCTGTTCATGTCTCTTGCCCAGTGATAGATGGGATTGTTTGCTCTTTTTTTTGTTTGTTGATTAATTTGAGTTCCCTGTAAATCCTAGATCTCAAACCTTTGTCAGATTCATAACATACAAATATCGTTTCGCATTCTGAAGGTTGTCTATTTGCTTTGATTGCTGTATCTTAGCTGTGCAGAAGCTTTTCCGTTTAATTAAGTCCCTTTTGTTTATTCTGGTTGTTGTTGCAATTGCCATTGAAGTCTTCTTCATAAAACCTTTCCCCAGACTGACATCTTGAGAGATTTCTCGTACTTTCTTCTAGGATAGAAATAGATTAACAAACTGTGGTGCATATATACCATGGAATACTGTTCGGCCATAGAAAAGATGGTGACTTTACATCTTTTGTATTAACCTGGATGGAGCTGAAACATTCTTCTCAGTGAAGTATCACAAGAATGGAAAAAGCAGATATACTAATATGAAGCCAGTAGACAATCTAATTCATGCTCATATAGGAGAAAAACTCATCTCAATTCAAGTTTGGGGGAGGGGGCAAGGGGACATTTGGGCACTTAATGTGCACAGTGTGGGGTGTATGGCACACCTTTTGAGTGCGGGACACAACTGCCAGAGGGACTCTACAACAAACTAAAATATTGTGATTTGGTTGTTTGTACCCTCACATTAACCTGAAATAAAGTAAAAAAATCAAAAGGCGTATAAGGTTCTCATGTCTTCTCTCCCACTTCTCTCAATATTTCAGTTATACTGAACACTTGATTCAGTGGTTTTACGTATTATATTTCTCAGTTCTAAGCATCTGCCTGTTTTCTAGTGTTCCATAATGTACAGGTCTGGGTACTACCTGCTTCCAGCACTCTCTGGGAATTTCATTCTGTCATGAATATTTGTTCATGTTTTCCTTCATCATTGCCATATAGATATTTCAACACTAATAACAATAGTTAGAACACATTATTTTTGTGTTCCACATTTTTTAGTTAGACGTTATTTTTTCTATTTTTGAGACAGGAGCCTCAAGCTGTCCCCCTGGGTAGAGTGCCATGGCATCGCAGCTCACAGCAACCTCCAACTCCTGCCTCCGCCTCCCAAGTAGCTGGGACCACAGGCGCCCGCCACAACACCCAACTATTTTTTGGTTGCAGCTGGCATTGTTGTTTGGTGGGCCTGGGCTGGATTTGAACCTGCCACCTTGGGTGTACGTGGCTGGTGCCTTAGCCACTTGAGCCACAGGTGCTGAGCCTGACATTATTTTTTGATCAAAAAAAAAATCTTTGTATGTTTAGAGCTGTATGAAAAATAGAAACTTATCAACTGATAAAAGCAATGGAACATTAAAGAAAAAATAGCCCAATTACTCAGCATAATATTTTGTTTTTTTTAAAAGATAAATATCAATGGATCACATTTTCATCAACAACTTTTACTGCCTACATGTTCACTAGGACTAATCTATTAAAGAGGGGTTTATCTCATTGCTTATTAAGTATTACCAAACTTTATATTCAGTATTTCCAAGAAAGCATCAACACTTCTATGCTACATGTTTTCAGCCATATATCATTGGACAAAAGTCTAAATTAAAAGTTGAATTGTAGCAGAGCTCAGAACTCAGTGGGTAGGGCGCTGGCCACATACACCCAGGTTGGTGGGTTTGACCTCGGATTGGGCCTGCTAAACAACAATGACAACTGCAACAAAAAAATAGCCAGGCATTGTGGCAGACACCTGTAGTCCCAGCTACTTGTTTGGCTGAGGCAAGAGAATTGTTTAAGCTCAAGAGTTTGAGGTTGCTATGAACTATGACACCAGGCACTGCATGCATGGTGACAGTGAGACTCTGTCTCCAAAAAAAAAAAATAGGGGCAGTGCTTGTGGCTCAAAGGAGTAGGGCACCAGCCCCATGTGCTGGAGGTAGTGGGTTCAAGCCCAGCCCCAGCCAAAACCAGCAATAAATAAATAAATAAATAAAACAAAATAAAAAATAATGATAATAAATAAAAAAATAAAAGTTGAATTTGGTGCACTAAAGGGTTCTTGATAGAGTTTTTTTCTGGCATGAATTATGTAAACTTCAGGTGAAGGCATTTCTACATTGACTTGAGGCCTGGGAATCTTTCTAGGGTGATAACTTTGAAAGGCTGACTAATGCACGTAATCACTGAAGACTTTATCATAACAAGTGTGAATCCTCATGTCCTGCAGAGCTCCTCCAAGAGTCAAAGCCTTCTTGTGTTTATTTCATTGAATTACTTCTCCAGTATGAATTATTTGAGATTTTATAATAGGCTCCTTTTTCCTGCCAAACACTTGCCACTTTTTTCCTGTTTTACTCTAAGTTTTTTCCTGCAATTCCAGGCTTGAACTTTGCCTGA